CGGAGCAAAATGAGTGAATCTATACTCTAAAATATATCTATATACATCTGTATGTGGTAGTCCATTTGAAATCTCTAAAAAGACAAAATTGTAGCAGGACTACTTTTTAGAATGTGGAACAGAGCTTTGTTTGTAACATTTATTTAAAAAAATAGTCATAATATATTTAAACAATGAGATTGAAATTTGAACTAAAGATTGAAAGTTTCATAAAATGATGGAAAAGTTATACTCTCTCCGTTCCTAAATATTTGTCTTTCTAGAGATATCAACAAGTGACTACATACAGAGCAAAATGAGTGAATCTATACTCTAAAATATATCTATATACATCTGTATGTGGTAGTCCATTTGAAATCTCTAAAAAGACAAATATTTAGGAACGGAGGGAGCAGTAAATCAATTTTTGCGCCGGTTTTGCCAAGCCATTTAGGAGTTTGGACTAGTTTTCAAAATTCAGAAAAAAATGAAGTGGGATAAAAAAGGTGTAAAAATTGAAGACAAATAGTAAATATAATTATTTTTCTTAGTACTTGGAAATTTTGGAGCTCATTTTGTCCAGCCATTTGGTCGTCCTTTTCAAAGTTTGGTCAAATTTCAAGTGAAAATTCAAAGTTATTAGAAAAAGGCTGAAGAAACGCAGGTAAATAGATTGGTAAATAAGGAGGCTTAGTTCGAGCTAAAGCTGAGCCACTGTCGATTTTGAGTCAGCTGGTGAATTGTCGCCGTTACATTCTTTTTTGCTAGTCATTATCCCTATATTCTGAATTATATGTGTTAAAATCCCCTAAAGTTGTACTCCTCATACTCCCTCCGTTCCGAATTACTTGTCGCAAAAATAGATAAAAATGAATGTATCAAAGAACTTAAATTATGTCTAGATACATCCATTTCCACAACAAACAATTCCAGATTGAGAGAGTATATTTGTTTACAGAGGGAGTAGATTTTGCTAGTCCAACCGCTAGCGATGTGCTTTGGATGAAATTTGCTCAATATAGCTACACGAAACGTGGAAAACATTGAAGACGTATATATCAGCCCTATGTTGATAGTTTAAGCACAAAAATATAAAAGAGAAAAGGCAAAATAAACTTATTAGCTTGCAACAGCTGCAAAAGACAAGATAGATCAAGAGTCGTTGGACGTTCACTTAATTTCTCTGTGATCGACCGATGCATAACTTAATCTACTACTAGAACAATTATAATCAGATTCGTACGGCCTCAGAGCAACGAATGCTGGTGGGGGCAAAAACAATTAGATTCGGATTTCTGCTTCTGATTTGGTTTTTAGTAGGTTGCTTGGATCGATGCGGACATGGAAAGCTATGTGACCAACAGCAAACCCGACAATGATACGGAGTACTATACAAGCTATAGTTAGCAGTCCAAAATAAGCTGACTCCATGATTGATTTGATTGATAATGTACTCCCTCCGTTCTGAATTACTTGTCGCTCAAGTGGATGTAACATCCACTTGAACGACAAGTAATTCAGAACGGAGGGAGTAGTACGGTACCTGGGCAAATGACGACGGACTCCTCGCGGGCGACCTGGGTGCAGAAGTCGACGTCGTCGGCGATGCCGTCCAAGCAGGAGAGGTCCAGCTTCACCATGACGAACATGGACCCCTCCGGCTTGTGAGGGCAGGTGATGCACTCGATGCCGCCCACCTTCCGGTAGCATATCTCCGCCGCCTCCCTCATCACGTCCATGGCCTTCTCGAAGAAGGCCTTGTCCGTGTTGGCGATGATCTGCGGCAGAGCTCCCTGCACGAACGTCACGGCGTCCACCGAGATGGCGCAGTAGCTCATGATCGACTCTAGGACCTGATGAAGAAAATTACCAGGAGGTTCTCTGTCAGCCCCCGTGAACACATTTTGGAAGTTGGTTGGGGTAAAGAAGGTACGTAGTACGTACGTTCTTGTCCCGGAGGACCCCCTTGGGATCGGTGGCTGCGATCCAGCCAAGGCGCCAGCCGGGCACCATCCACCGCTTGGAGATGCCGCCGATGGTCACCACCGGAGCTATCTCCCCGAACACGCCCATCGGCACGAACGGCTTGCTCCCGAACGCGCAGTGGTCGTACACTTCGTCGCTGATCACCATGATTCCAAGCTTCCTCGCCGTCTCTGCAATCTGTGAAATATCTCCGTATTAACTAATCAGAGGAAGAAGAAGTAGCTACTGGCGCTACTTGTCTTAAATTTTAATGCATAGACGTCTGCGTAGATGCTGGATACCTTGGCCAAGTGGTCGTAGGAGTAGACGCACCCGCATGGGTTGTTGGGGTTGACGATGACCATGGCGACGGTGTTCTCGTCGGCGAGGGCCTCCACGCCGTCGAGGTCCACCTCCCACTCCTTCTCCGGCAGGAGGTCGAAGCGCCGGAACTCGAGGCCGCACAGCGCGGCGCGAGACTCGTACATCGGGTACCCCGGCCTCGGCAGCAGCACGTTGGCGCCCGGCGACGCCAGCACGGCCATCATGATCTCGATGGCGTGGTTGCAGCCGGCCGTGACGACCACGTCCCCCGTCGAGAGCTCGTAGGGGAGCTCCCTGGACAGGTACGCGGCGACGGCGCTGCGGCAGTACATATCCATGCGTTTACCAGAACCGACTAGCTGAAGAAACAGAGAAGAGATTAAGGCTGCGGCGGCAGTACGTACCTGCGCGCCTCCAGCACGCCTCCGGCGGAGGAGTATCTGTTGTGCTTGCCTGACAGGGCGGCGGCGGAGACGGCTTCCTCGGCGGCAGCCGCCGTGCGGAAGCACGCGAACGCGGAGGGGTCGCCGTGGCCGAGCGGCGCGACCGGCCGCGGGTCGTTCCTGTCGACGCAGTCAAACACGCGGGTGACGAGGGCGCGGAGGCTCTGCCGGCCACTCGCCTGGACCGCCGGGTTCCCCGCCCCGAAGCGCCACTTCGCCTCGCCGCCGTTCTCCATGGGCGGCTGACGACGGGGAGCGAGCTAGCGTTGGAAGACTGTGTCGTGTGCGCGTTTGCCTGATGAGGAATGCGAGGTCGTCGTCGGTTCGCTTCTTTCCCACGATGGGTTGGGTCGACTGTCTGCTTGGCATCGACGACAGCTTTTGTTTGTATCCAACTTGGCACGAGGCAGGAGCCGTCGGCACGTCAAGCCATCAATCATCAATCCCGTTGTCGATGCTCGGAGCTCTCGTCCGACATTGATTGAATCGTGCGTACTTACTGTACAAAGTAAGAAAAGTAAGAAGAGTTCAAGGGACCGAACGGGCCTCAAATATTGCCGTTTGCAACCACAATATCTATTTTCAAAACATCAACACATGCACGTTGATCATCTAGCCCAAACATAGTTTGGTGTAAACCCGGGCAAACGTCGGGCCGGGCCGGGTTTCGGGCCGAGCTTGTAAAAGCCCGACCTTCATTTCTCAAGCCCGAGCCCAGCCCGAAGCCCGAAATACTCCTTGTTTTCAAGCCCGAGCCCGGCCCGAAATGAAGCCCAAAGCCCGAAAGCCCGGCCCGAACGCTATTTTTCAGTGTACGCACGTGCAAGCACGGCCCGAAGCCTGAAAGGCCGCCCGAAATACATGAAAAGTGAAGCCCGAGCCCGGCCCGAACTATCTTTCGGGCTGCAAAACAAGGCCCGAGCCCGGCCCGAACGTCAAGCCCGGCCCGGCCTGGCCCGGGTTTTTCAGGCCGGGCTTGGGCCGGGCTGTCCATGCCTGGGTTTAGTTTGGTGCATACAAATATAAATTGTTCATGCGTAAGAATACAATTCTTTTTTCAAAAAAATAAGAATACAAATAATCCTAACATAGTTCAAACATAAAATTCTTCATAGTGCATAATTGATAAATTAGAAGCAAAGTTTACTAATTTTCAATGTGGACCCACATATCTCTGCAAGATCATTCAGAATTGGCATATGCACATGTTGATCTCGTAGTTGTCGATGTATCTTCAGAAATTTGGCAATGCTCTCTGCCTCTTGTTCTGGAGGGCAGACATGAGTTCCGAGCTTCTTAAAATCATACGTGCAAGCTGCCCATTCACCCTCATCCATGACAATCATGTTGAGCAAGATTACACAACATGACATGAGCCGCCAAAGTGTCTCCTTCCCACAATATCACATCTCCATGTACAATACCCCAACGAGCTTAGAGCACTCCATGTACTCTCTCCACATCCTTCCTAGCTGCCTCTTGCATTGTTGCAAAGCTGCTTTGGTTGTTGCCTTGGGGATCAGATATGGTTTTCACAAACACCATCAACTGGGAATTAATAGATACCATTGGAAAGGTAGTACCCCATATTGTAGTTGTGTCTGTTGATGGTGTAGTTGCATGGTGGAGCTTCCCCATCACAGTCTCTTGAACAAAGGAGATAACTGGAGCACATTAATGTCATTGCATGTATCTAGTGTGCAAAAGAAAGAAATCCACAAGTCATTGCATGTATCTGATAGTGGCTTCTCTAACGTGACCTTGGTATTGCCCACACAAACCTTTTGGAAAGTTCTTCCATTGCCACTGCACGCAACCAACTGAACCTTACATACTTGGGAGTCCTCTTGATGCTCCAATTGCCAACAATTTTTCCGTGTCGTCCACGGTTGGATCCCTCAGGTACACTGCTTCAAACACCTTCAGCTCAATGTGTGTAAATTGCAACTTGGTCGCCAGGACCGTGCTCCCTCCCATCCTAATTTTTGTATCAATTGCATCTACCACCTTCCCACAAGCAAGCATCATGAGAGCAGCAGTGCATTTCTACGGAGGAGGGAAAGAAAGTTGTGCACAACAATCCTTCTCAGCTTGAAGTTCCCATGAGCCTTCTCCACGACAACCACTATACACAAGAACAAATTTATGCTCATTCGGCAATGGCCTCAAAAGAAACTTTCAGAGAATGTTGTGTCCTCCGTGAAGTGTACAAAATCCTTGCACCGGCAATCCTATCACGAGGAATAACTCCCCGGACCTTTATGGAACCCTTGAAGTTCAAAACATTCTCCTCTTCCTTCTCCAACTCCTCTTGGATGCTCATCATCATCGGCATCATCATCATCATCATTTCAGCATCCTCATTGTCCAAATCCAACGAGGCGATGAACTTGTTGAATATGAATTCGTCAAGGTCGGGGTTCCCATAGCCATCATTCCACGAAGAATCCATCAGTGACCTAGAAACAATGACTCAAAGAACAAAAAACTGGCTCTGACATTTCATCGAACACGTAGAGTATGAGGTGTATATATTGGGGGGGGGAGGGGGTTGGGCGTACCAGGGCAGCGTTCGGTGGCAGCGACCTTGGCCGGTTGCGGCCTGGTTAGCAGCGGAACTCCGGTGGCGGCTATGCGGACGAGGGCCAACAGAGAAG